ATATACCTCGTACTTCCCGGCCTTGTAATGCTATGGGAAGTGAACACTAACATTAGGGTAATAATTTCTCGTATCACACCCGGCCCAGCACGCTCAGCTTTCATCAATCAAAACAAAATGCATGATGTGTTTGAGGTCAAGTCAGGGTAAAATTGTAATTACACCTATAAGGAATATGATAAAACCTTTACGGACTGAATACAGCTATTGCTGCACTAGGGCGTATAGTTTATGCACACTCACAAGCTTGGGCACTCCCATCCCACAACCTCGGGCCGCTAAAGCTGTATCCAGTCCATAACAAATATTATATCTTCTTAGTTCATACAATCAGGATATTTAAAATGGGGTCTCTGGATAATTTTTCTATATACAATGTACAAGTGTCATTTGCACTCTTTTCCCAGGGGGGGGGGGGGGTGCTCAGGTAAGCGCCCACACCTAAAAAATCCTGATTTTATGAGTTGAGGAGCCTGGGCGCTAACGTGGTCGAGTATGCTATATCAGTATTAGTTTTAAGAGGTCGAAACAATACAGAAACAGTCAGGGAAATAATATCAAAGAACACAATTTAGATGAGTTTAGAAAAACCATTTACCATTAGAGATGTACCAAGTGACATAACAAATTAAAACGTTTCCTACTACAGTTTACTACACTGGCATGGCAAATTTCTTATTAGCCGTGAACCGACGAAGACAGCTAGCAGAAAATAAGATGATAACGATAAATAACATATCCTGTAAAATACTTTATTTTAGCTGGAATTAAAGTGTTTTTGGGTGTTTTGTATGGAATTTATTTTCACTGATTTTTGACAAGGAATGTGAAATATAGGAAAAATAGCAACAATTAATTCCAAGCGAAAATAAAGTATTTCACAGTATCTGTCACTGTATCACCATAAGTTACAGAGTACCATAATTGTGTGGTATTGAACGCACTTTCTGCATCCTACCATTTTAATGCATGCAAATTCCAAATACATGTATGGAACAATTACCAAGTTGAAGGAAGTTCATAGCCTGTAAGTTCTGGGTATTCTACACCAAGTACTTTGATTGGAAGATGTACAATAATATAAGGTTATTACGAGAATACCTCAAAGTATGCATGAAGACAGTACAGCTGGAGTATCGACCGATGCGCACCGGAGGTCGATGCACGGCGTACTGTCTGAGGAAATGTCGAAATTCAAATGTTTAGAACAGAATCAGCGAAATTCTTTGCATGGAGTCCGGTCAAACTCTGGTGGCAGCCATGTTTTGTTTTTATTATAGGAGGACGCTTACGTGAGTAATCATTCCATATTCGTATTTCCTAATATGGTAGGATGAAAATACCCTGTAAAATACAGCAAAATTACGGCACGCTGTAACTTATGGCGTTATAGTGACAGATGTATAATAATAATAAAATTATTATGAGAATACCACAAAGTATGATAGATACACCATTACTCACACTGTACTGTGCATACTTTGCAGTATTTTCACAATAATCTTATATTATTAGAATAAAGACTTACCATAGCACCCCTGTAGTAGGCTGTGGTAATAGTACGGAATCTCTCCTGTCCTGCTGTGTCCCTGTAATTCAAATACACCAAGATAGAGGGTCAGCTAATATCAATATTTGAAATATACAGTCAGAGGGTCAGGTAACATCAATATTTAAAATATTACAGTTAGGGGGTCAGCTAATATCAATATTTTATATATACAGTTAGGGGGTCAGCTACCGGTAATATCAATATTTTATACATACATGTGGTCAATATATAGGTGGGTTACTATGCTCAGTTTTGAAAGCAAGCTAAGCTAAGTGAACGCTAACTAACGTTAAGAAGCACTCAGACCAGACTGAAGGTGACTCATTGAAAGCAAGCTAAGCTAGGTGTACGCTAACTGAATGTAAAGATGCACTCAGACCAGACTGAAGGTGACTCATTGAAAGTTATGTGTATGTGTATGTGGTAAGGTCAGCACAGTTCCTTTTAATGTTTTTGAATCTTGAAAATACTGTGAAAATTTGCCCATTTTCCCTTTGAAATGTTTTTTTCTGCATACAAAATGCATGGAAAGTTTCTCAAAAGACAAAATTTCACTGAGAAACTACAATTGAATCTGAGAAAATTCAGCGAAAATAAGGCTTAGAGGGAACACTGGTTTATCAGCAATTCAGCTCACTAAAATAACCTGATGATTGCTGAATCAAATCACCCACATCAAATATAATAACCAGCCTGACAACTCCATTAAGGAGACAGACTACCATCAAAACAGATTTTCTGCATTTTTTCAAAGGTTTTATCTCATAGCGGGTAAAAACAATTGGTTGCCAAACCACTTTTCGCACAAAATAGATAAAACATCTATATAAGCATAGCATAATTAATTTTTATGGTAAAATGTCATTTTCATTAAGTTACATATACATTTACAGGTGTGCTAAAGAAAATTTTGAATTTGAACATTATTTGGAAAAAATTAAAAATAAAAATCATAGAATAGCTTATACTAAATTTAGAACTTCTGCACATTCTCTTCCCATTGAATCCGGTAGACATAAAGGCATTTTGAAGGAAAACAAGCTATGTAATCTCTATGAATGCAATGAAGTAGGGGATGAGAAACATTACATTTTATATTGTAATAATTGTCAAATCAAAGAACAAAGATCTAGATTCCTTGCAGCTTTATACATCTATGCCCCAAAGCTGGAAGATTTTAGCATGGATGAATTATTTCCTATTATTGTTTCAAGTAATGATTTTTTCATTCTTAGCATTTTTGCAAAATTTATTTTCTATATTCTTGATATGTTTTAATACTGTAAGTTTTTGTTGTTCTGAATGTTTTGTTTTGTTATTGTTATTTTTGGACTTTACTCAAGATTTCATTGGTACGTTCCAAATAAAAAATCTATCTATCTATACATAGGGTGAATAAACGGTATGATGTATAATAACAGTTTTTATTATGAGAAATTTTGGTGTAATACTAATTATTTTTCAAGAATTAGCATTTTATGATAAATTTCTTGTTTTACACTGGGTAAAAAAATCTGAAAAGTTAATGACTTGTATGTTTAAATCGATAACAACACTTTTGAAATCAAAAATTTTGATAAATTTGTTGTCCCACATTTGTCAGGTTGAATACCCGTGAATAACTTGACATAATGATGTCAACTACCATACTTTCAGTTACTGTTTATGACATCACGTGGGTACCCTGACACAATATAATTTACATCCCAAGAAATCATAAACAACAAAATCAAATGTTGAATGAAAAACATTTCTAAGTGTAGAGAAACATGTCTAGCAGACTCTGTGGTTTTCCTTCAGACATAGCTATTGAATGAAACATACGTATACATTCTTTCCTTACATGGGGGCATCAAAGGCAATTGCATCAATGCCCTGAAAGTTTTCCTTGGTGTCCTTTGAAAAATACAGTTGTTCGGTAAACAATTATCGAAACACAATTTTATCAAATTTTGCCTTGAAGATTCGTGTTCTATCAATTCCGAAATTAAAGCCTTGTCATATCTATTCATAATCCTTAAAATTAATCTATAATTTTACCCAGCATTCATTTGGTAGTACTCCTCTATTTAATGTCAATGCATAACGAAAAATTATGTTATTAATTTTAATTTTGCGAGAACATTTTTTGAAATTTGAGTGAAAATTATGAAATATTGTACATGTTATGTAACAGCATAAAAAAAATCTGTAGGTTTTTAGGGGTTTTCCATTTGAAATCTAAGAGGTGGGGGTCGGGTCAGGTGGAGGAGAGCTGAACATTGCAAATATTACATTCACAGGTGTCAGACAAAATATTTTTCATTCACGCTTCGGATACTTTAGGTAACTTTCTAAGAGACAGGATTAGGGTTCAACTTGTCACTACAACAATCTAAGGGGATTGATACAATGTAGCTATACTGAAAACACAGTCAACCATAACACGATTTACATGTCTGGTGAAAGTGTTCTCACAATCCAATCTGAGGTCAAAGGTTATACACCTTGTGCTATCACATGACTAAGCATTGGCCATGGAATATTTTATAATCATATCGAAACAAAAATCTTTGCATCATGTCTGAATTTAAAAGAAATATTTGACCATTAAATACTGTACTTACTGTAAAATACTGATTCAATTTCACGAAAGATGAATTTCACTAATATCAAGAGTCAGTGAAAATCCCACAAGTTATTAACAATGAAAAAGTTTCTGGTGTCCTACAAACTTTGTTTTTATGAAGGCCATGATATCAACAAATTGTAACATGTTATACTAGTAATTCTTTACAACAAAAGCTTTGCCAGTGGTGATTAATGTTTGCTTTAAAATAACTCGAGCAGGTGACTGGTCAAGTTTCTGTCTTTTTGGATTAGTTGACTGAAGACATTTTTACTCAGTTCTAGATTATAAAGACTTTCATTAAAGAGCAGTAGTTGTCGCGCCATGCATGCACAAAATATATGTGTCTCATATAAACAAAGATGGCAACTTTGACTGTTACGTAGACCAACGAGTACAAATTGAGACGTTTCCAAGCTTTCATTAGGTATTTTTAGGTGATTGGAAGGTATCGAAGAAGTCACCGGTGGTAATTAGTGCAAGTCACGCACAGGTCATAATTGTGATTTCCATTAGAAGAGCAGAGTGGATTGTGGAAAAATCAATGTTTATCAACACAAATGTTGCACATGTGCAGCGCGACGACTGCTACCCTTTAACACATGCCTACAGAAAGCAGTCAAGGTTTGCTGACATAATGATATTCAACACGATCAGGCATCAGTAATTTTTCACTGTGACCTCTTGTGAGAGAATAACTGGATTTGATGATGAATGAACACTGTGTCTACTCCATCAGTTGTGTTGAGTTGACTCAGCCACTACTGTACAATACTTTATTTTCCCTTGGAATTAATTTTTGCTATTTTCGCTGAAGGAATGATTCAGTGAAAATAAAATCCAGCGAATATACCTTTTTCCCTATATTTTACATTCAACTTGTCAAATATCAGTGAAAATAAATTCCATTCAAAACACCCAAAAAATCTTTTCAGCCAAAATTAATTCCAGCTAAAATAAAGTATTTTACAGTAAGGCCACATCCGATTTAATTTAATGGATGACATCCACGCGCACATTAGTTTTTGCCTGTTTTCAAAAAAAAAAAAATCTCCGACGACGAGTTTTCACGAATTGGTTTTCTGTCCAGAACTTGCCGACTCATATTGTTGCAAAACTTGTTTTGGACTACCTCAAAACATACCAATTTTGTCATAAATGATCTTCTGCACATGCGTATTGTGTTGCCGGGAATTCCAACATGGCGACCACACCACCAAAATATGTGAACATAAAAGTTCAGAGAAAAAACAGAGGGATTGTTGTAGACTGGTACGCAATTGACGTAGGCCAGGGAAATGTGACGTTTATACTGCTATACGAGAGATTGGTAGCGGCAAGTGAGTTCCGCCCAGACAAGTTTAAGGACATATTGTCCAGAGTGGCTGTCCCACGTTTCTTCTGCAATGATGAGAGAAATGGGAGAGGAGTGGAGGTGTATGGTGGCCTAAAAGTCAGTCAGGCGACAAGTCAGTTCGGTTGCTTTGTCCGCATTGAAGCCGACAAAACTGCAACGAAAGCAGAGGAAGCTCCTCGGCCAAGGTCCTATTTTTTTTTTCATTTTCTGATTTGGATAATTTGCTTGCACACACAGTCAGTAATATTTTGATCATAGGACAAATTTTCATTAAGATACATGTACATAATTTTCTGCATCCAAATTTTTGTTGGTGTTTTTTTTTTTTTTCAATATCGAGCCTTTTGTAATTTGTTACATAGTTGAAGTAGTTCTAAAGCATTTGTGTCTACACTTAGTCTATCTGAAGTGTCACTTTAAAAGCTGTAATTTGAATGTCAAAGAAGGTTTTCCAGGTTGTTGTTGACAAACTTATTGTTCATTTTTAATTCATTTTTTTTTCAATACAACACAGTAAGTTTTTCTTTATTTGATATTTATTTATTTCTTGTTGTTTTTATGATACACTGTGTTCTGTAGTTAAATTCGTAATTTTTATATCAGCTCCATAGTCCTGTGGTTTTAGCAGCATTTTTTTTTTTTCGCCCTCTCGCATTAGATTTGGGGTCTCCAGAGGATGTCATTCATAAAATTACAATCAGTGTGGCCTAATTGTGTATACTAAGTAAACATTCTCTACTTTACATTGAATATCATCCTGCATGTAAGTACAACAACAAAAACACAGAACTGGCACAAATTGCCACACTAACACATTATAGTTAGAGGGAAATTTAACATTTAGCCAGGTTTAAGCTGCCTCAAAGCTGCTTGCTTTCAAAACCAACACATATTTAAATTCTGCAAAGTAATCTGTCCCATACTAGTAAACATAGGTAAACATTACAAAGAATAAGGGTCTTAAAAACTTTATAAATTATAATAATTTATGAAAAAGACAAAACTAGCTGATAGTCAGCTTAGAAGTTGAGTTACACTTGGACTGTACTATAAGTTGAATATAATAAATGAGTGCAGTGTACAATGATATCATTTGAAAATGTTCCAATATTATAATTT